GTTTATATGGAAGCAATTTTTGTAGATTTTGAAGTTTTCCTTCAGCTTGTAAATAGTATACTATTTTGACTTTTAATCTTTTCTACAATTTTCTGTGTAGTGTGTGTGTTGCAAGTTTCCCTAGTTGATTAGTTTTCAAGTCCCAAGTGTCTAGAGCGGGGGTTTATAACTTTTTTCGTGTTATCCACCTGTACAGTAAATATTCAAAAAGCATAGTGTTGTATAAATTGTTTTGTTGGGTACTTTTCCTGTCTTGATAAATTCAAGATGGCTAATATGATAAAAGAAGTAAAAACAATTTTATATTAAATAAAAATTATCTTGAGGTCATATATTAATTTTACTTGCAAAGTTATTCTTGGCCTTCCCTTATCTGATTTACATAAAAAGAAAAGAAAAAGTTATTTCATCTGTAGAACTATTTGAATGTTAATGACCCTTCTCAAAACTATAGAAAATACAAATATATTCCTTGTTTTCAGGGATATTTATATCCTAATTATGAATGTAACTAAGTTATCCCCATTTAGCCTCCTGTTTTTTGTTTTTTTAATATAGGTTCTTTGCATATCTCCTTGGAATATTGGGGGGGGGCATATGTCGAAATAGCTCTTTAATAATCAAAATATTGCCCACCACTTTTTGTTTAGTTGCTCATCACTCACTCAACAGCTGAAATTGCCTACTGGTGAGTGATATCACTCAGGTTGGGAAACACTGGCCTAGAGCTTAATTTGTACTTGGCTCAAAATGATTTTGAGCTTTGTAAATCATTTCTAACACCACACCATGCTTCTATTGTAGTTTTCTTGGATGAAATATGTGTAAATAGTATTGAATATGAATTTTAAATTGCGCCATAACTTTAATAAAGAAAATATTACTTTTCTGCAAATAATTCTTAAGTCTTCAAAAATAACCAGATTTGCTTACATAGTAAGATGGTATGGAAATTTTTGTATCAATTTAATATCATTTAAATGGAAATTCAAAACAAATGAGTAGGAATTTAATAACTTAGATTTTTTTTAATGCTGTTTGTTAAAAATACTTTAATTGGCATGTTAGTTGCAGGCATTGTTTATTTAATTCTTCAAGTCTGTTCAAAATACTCATGAAGATCTTTTAAAAATCTTTAATGTTAAAGTACATTACATATTATGTATTAGAATTTCTTTTTGAACTTGTAAATTTTGTTATGCATCAGAAGTTCTTGAATGTTTGTCTGTTATTTGAACAAGTCTTTGATCTGTGGGTTAATTCAAGTTAGGCTGGACCAATCCTTGATTCAATCCATTGGCTATTATTAACCTTTTTTTAATCCACTTGAGTCATATAAATTATGATAAAATTATAAATTGGTTGTTCATTAGAAAAACGAAACAAAAAAAAGAAAAAGCAAATCTAAATCATACAAAAATTATTGGCATTGAAAGTGGAATTGTGCAGGAGAGTTCAAACCCTATTCATAATGCACAAGGGAAATTCATGACTATCTTTTCTCTCCCAAGCTATAGATTAAATATCTGGGTAGATGGGACTGTCTAGCCTTGGATTTGTAGTTAAGCTATGAGAGGGAATATTCTGAATTAAAAACCATCGAGAATGTAATGGAAGATTTATTCTACTATTTTTCCCTGAGAATAGGTCAGGTCAGGGATTATGCTTTGCTGTTGTTACCATGTCATCCTTGGAGAGGTGATGGACACTGCCAAGTAATTCCCATTGCCCTGGGAAAATGCCAGGAAGAACAATTACTCGACATGGCATCCCAACAATCTCATAAGGTCATGGGTTGAATTGAAACTGAATACAAATGCCAACAAATATATAATTTTTATTTTATTTTTGTTAGTAAATACATGGTATTTTAGTATTAACAATGTTTCCAATGTATCTTTTTTTTTTTTTGTTTTTGTTGTTAGTAAATATTATTGATGGTATTTTAGTATTAAAAATATTTCCAATATAGATTTTTTTTTTTTTTCTTTAAGATTATTTGCTAATCATAGAAGTAAGTTTTCTGTTTTTTCTTTCTGTGCAGTTACACACACAAGGTAAATGCTTGTGTTTAATGCTTTTTACATATTTTCTTCATGTGGTTAACAGAATTCTTTTCAGCACAGAATTTTAAAGTATGAATTCCATTTTCTATTTATTTGTGTGGCTACCAAACAATTTCACTGCTTTTTATATTGAAGTGCACATCTGAATGAGCTTAAAGTTTTTATATAATACTTTTAAAATACTGGCTAATGAACAATGATTACTACATGAAATTGATTAAAAAATCAATTTAAATTAAATTCTGCAATTATTACCTGATTAGAGGATATGCAAATGAGAAAGATATTTGAAAATTAATAAGATTAACATTTACATCTTAATTTTCATCATTATTAGTCTCATGACTGGGTGTGACTGATAGGTTGCTTAAGCACCTGGTCATTTCCCTCCACATATCTGGGTTGAAAGCTGAAGAGGCAGCCATACATGTGTAGCATATCTCTAGCAAGTACACCTTACAGGAACTTGTCTATCTCCAGGTAAAATCACATCCAATGTCTGTAAACTTGAAGGCTCAGCTTGGTCACAGACATGTGACTGTTGATTCCATCAGGGGAATCACTGCCTTGGTAGTTGACTTTAGGAAGCCTCTCACCCAGCAATGTCATGTCATCACTGTATTGTCTGCATAAGCGGCTATGGAGCCCAATCTACCACCACTGTGCTAGATAGCCATTCATTCTACAAGAAGATTTATCAACCCTTTGACTGGTCTGTTTTTTTTTTTTTTTTTTTTTTTTTTTTATTCTCACTAGGAAATCATTGTTTAATTGCCAATGATGTGACCATGCTGCAGATAATACCGAGATCATGGTACCAATATCACTTGTAGAATGGCCCAACACAAATTAGTCTTCATTAAGTGTTGACAGACATACTTTTTTTTTTTTTTTTTTTTTTATACATTGTAGATCTGGTAGTCATATGGATCAATAAGCATTTTGGATCTTAAAAGCAGACAAATTGACTCTGTTAAAGATTTTGAGCAAGACTTTTGATGTTAATTTTACTGCTTGAAAAAATCTGGAATGTATACCTGCTAAAAATGTTTATAGTAATATATATATATATATATATATATATATATATATATATATATATATATATATATAAATTTGTACGTAACACAAAATATAATAAAATACATATGAGAATAATAGTGCTAAATAAATGACGAGACAGAAAGCTGTGTAGTTATGTATTTTATCCCAAAAAGGAACTTTTTAGACAAAATGTAGTTTTATTGATAGAATCAATCTTTAAAGTGTGTGTTTGTGTGTAGGAGGTGGCAGTGAGAATTGTAACAAATGCCAGTTAAAGTTTACATTGAAATGTGAGATATACAGATTCATACAACATTTAAATTTAAATTTTGATGCACAATATATCTAAATGTTAAACTTAGCCCATCTAATTCAGTTTTTTATAGCTTTTTTTTTTTTTTTCCTCCTTCTTTATTATCCCAAAGTGTATTAGTGGTAGTTTTGTGAGTAAATGTGTTGTGTAATCCTGGATATAAATTTACTGTAAATGATTCCAAAATTAGTACACTTCAATACACTTTTGATTTACTTCACAAATAACATATCAGAAACATGAATTAAACTAATGCTTTTACAAAGAATACTTAAAATACATAATTTTGGTTTATCGAATAAAAAAGATGTATTTGAAAATGACTAAAAGCAGAATCTAAACACCATAAGATGCTACAAAAACAAAATATTAACCTGGCTACTTTAGTGATATCCTTATGTAGCCTTGTCAAGATTTATATAGGCTTATGGTCAAACACTAGTTCTTGCACGATCATCAAAATTAAGCAACATCGAGTCTGGACAGTATCTAGATGGGTGACTTCTTGTAAGCTTGGATGTGCATTCAGTGTAATGGAGAATGGCTCAGAATTGTAAATCAGAGTAAAATTACAATTTCAGTCAGGTTACTTATATTCACTTGCATGCAAATACCTTTCGGAAAAGTATGAATCCACCTCTCTTACCCCCTCCCCCACCCGTGATGGGTTAATTAGTAGGACTTGTATCAGTAAATCATTTTTGGCAAAAAATTCTTTGAATTTAAATATTTTCTAGTTTTAAATATCTTGCAAAAGTTTGATAAGTTGTAAAAAAAAAAAAAAAAAAAAAAATCAATCTAGATTTGTATAACATCCAACTGTTTAAACTATCATCTGTATACAATTGCTTTCTCACATTGTTGATTAAAAAATAAATCCAAGTAAATTAATTCTTTAGTGCTAGAAATAGTAATGGTAATATTAACCATTTCCTTACAAGGAAACATTTGGTATTCATTAACTGAACAGCCAGTACTACTGTCGGTTCAAATTTATAAAATCAATCTCTTTAAACAATTTTTCAGGAAAATGGATTTCTCATGTTTAGTAGTTATCATTCTTTCCAGTATTGGGGGTTTCCTTCCTAACCTTTTTGTTTGAAGTAGTGTGGAATGTCAACATAAGAGCAATAACAATTAGTGAACAAATTATCTAATTTCCTGGAAAGCTGTTTTAAGAAAAAGATTTTATAAATTTCAATCAATGCTAATGCTAACTTTATATGAATGCTGAATGTTTCCAGTATGGAAATGGCTATCTCACCATTACTGTTAAAATGTGTCTTACTGTAGTTAAAAATAAAACCTTTTGGAGAGTTTCCTATAATCATAAGATGTCTAGTTACAACTTTTGTCTGTATTTGTTAAATTCTTTGTACCTAATTTCATGGAATTTTTACACTACCTAAAATTTTCTATTTATATGGTATTTATTGTTCTTGATATCTTAAATAGTTTCTGTATTATTAAAGCTTAACTTTGAGTAGCTAATATTCTAATCAGCCTGTGAAAGTCCTTTGTTGGACATAGACCTTCAAGGAATCATTACCACATTGACCAATGTGTGTTGATAGGGGGCTTACAATACCAGGTATTCTCAAGCAGTCACCTATCTAAGTAATGACTAGCTTCAACGTTGCTTAACTTCGGGGATTGGATGAAAACTAGTGTTTAAATGTGATATGGCTGTGAGCAGTAGCTAATATTAATGTTCATCAAATAACTTAGTTGCTCACTAGAAATAAGACATTTTTCTTATTGTAGTCTCTACTTCCTTACATGCCATATGAATTGGTGGTTGTTATCAAGCATTTTCTACAGGAAATTTGCATTTTTGAATTCTTGATAATCATATGTTTAAATTTGTTGTAATCTTGCATTCAGCTCATCAGAATGCCAGAAATTATAAAGTCTGTAATTATTGGTTGAAAATAATAAAGAATTGACAATGATATTGCCAAATATTTTAAAGCTCATACAGAAATTGATTCAATTATTGGCATTAGAGATGTACTATAAAAAAGAGCTCTACTCTTTTGTTCCACCAGTTCAGACCTTTACAGCTAGGACTTGCCATGCTATATCCATGGAGTTGACCACCACATTTCCTTCATATTCCATTTGTAAGGAGGAAGTTCCACTCAACTTTCTTCCAAAAACTGCTGCTTTGTTGAGGAAACTCCTGCAGGATTTTTCCCTGAATAGTACGATTTTAATTTCTTCCTCCTTTTACATTTTTCACATCACACACCTCATTTATTAACCCTCTAACTTGAGTGGCTCTTGAGCCTTCTATTGGGTGAACTTTAGTATAAGACAAAAAACACGAGACCAATAGCTAGTTAAAAGAAAATATATAAAAGAAATGAACAGAATGTGGGGAAGCAATTTGTTGACTATACATATGTCTTACTAATCTAATGAGTTAAAATATGTATTTTTCAGTGAATCCATGTTGCTACAGAATGCAACACCAGGTCAGTTTAACAGCAATACTGTTAAAAAATTGCTCAAGCCTGCTTGGCATTTCTCTTTTTTACGATGTCTTGGGCACCCAGAACCCTTCCTGAAGGACAAGTACTGCATGGGAGATGACCCCTGGTGATTGAACTTAATATTATTTTGAAACTTTTCTGGACAAAAATACCAATTAAATGAGTTAAAATAATGGCCTTAGATCACTTTTCTTAGTTCAACTGTATTGCATAGACAAGTAAATATTCCCAATGCAAAAGTGTTAAATTAGGTATAATTTCCTGATGTGAGCTGTGATTTAAATTTTGACATTCACTATTCTTATAATGATTTACAAATCATTAATGTGACATAGATGGAAAACTGCTCAAGCTTAAACTTTTATTTAAGCAGTTCAGCAAAGAAGTACACAACTTGCATGCTTATAATTGAATGGAGCTTACCACACAAATCAAAATACATTATTTGTTTTGCAAGAAGAAATTTGTCACAGATTTTTCTAAGATCTACCATTTTGTTATGTATCCTCATAATCCTCACTTTCTATTACCTCGTCTTTCATTTCTCACACCTCATTAATCATAACTAGGTACCTCCAAGGATTTGCTAAAAAATGAACATACATGATGAAAAAAAATGTCTAAACTTAATAAAAACAAAGTTTTATTGTCAAAATCTTCATTATTATTATGAGGAAAAACAAAACTTCTTGAATATTATATTTTTTGATCACTTTTAGAACATCTGAAATTTTGGCAAAAAATTTGCTTTTCCTTGCATCCGTGGGGGACCATAAATTAGCATAAAAAATTTTAGCATCTTTGCTGTGAAACATACTGATTTGGAAATTCTTGACAAAACCAAGTAATTGTTGAATTTTAATGAAACTTTCAGGACATATTCACAAATGAATGAAATTATTTTTTATTTATTTATTTTTGTAAAACTGGACCTCCAGTTATCCAAAATCTGCTCCAAATTGAAAAATAAGAAAATGCAATAAAACTAAGATGTTAATGCATTAGAAAAACTTTTAATTGCTTTTATGCATAAGATATATTATGAACACTATTGTTTTAATAAAAAAAAATTGGGGAGGGGGGGAATAGTGAATTTTTTACATAAATTTTAATTATTTAAACAATTTTAATTAAAATAATTGATAAAGTTTTAAAACTTTTAAAATACCACCAGTATTTTAAAAAATAATTTCGAATTTTTTTTGTGTGTATAAACATGCCAATTTTTGTAAATATAGATGTCCATACACATTAGCAAAAATAAGTGCAATAACTATATTAAATTTAAAGCCAAAGTACCTAAAATTAAAAAAAAAAAAAAAATAGATTACAAAGAATTTCTTAAATTTTTAAGATTACTGAATAGTTAAATATTATATGAAAAAAAAAACTGTGCTTGTGTTATATTTTGCTTATAAGAAATATTAAATTTAATCTATTAACTTGGAATTGAAACTAAAATGAAAGCTAATTAATTAACTTCAAATTAATTAAAATGTTTGAAATTAATTTTAAACATTATGCATCTTGTTTCTTTGGTAGTATCTAATCATAACCATTTTAACACAAACACATCACATACCTATTGCTGCTTTTTACTATTTCCATGGAACATGTTCAGATGAACTTAGTTCCAGCAGTTCAAACAGATTTAGTCAATTGCTATCAGCCCTCCTTGTCCTTATAATCTTCATTTCCTTCTACCTCCACCTCTCTCCTATTACATTCAGTAACCCTCTACCATGAGTGGCTCTTGAGCATTATATTTGGTGAATTTTAGTATTTAAGTGTTTATGGAAGTTATTATATTTAATGTGTATTCAACTTAGTTTTTCTGTCATTTCATGTTTTTATTTTAGTTTTTTGAATTGATTAATATTTTTTCTTTAGTCTACAATTTCTCTCCTGCCATTTGTAACATTGCAATAAGAAAATAAAACCCTCCAGGCTGTGCTATTGTTAGGTTATGAGCCCTTTAGACTTGTTTTGTCAGCACTTGTCATCTCTTTAGAGTATGCTTCTCCTGAGAACAAATGAGTCAGATCCCATTAGTAATGATGATAATTAAGTAGTGGACAGCCAGTGATTGTCTTTCTAGCTTTTTGTAAGCAAGCAAGCAAACAAGCATAAATAAAATACCCTTGATAATTCTTATCTTCTGGCATGTGCGAACTTAACATATTGTATATCTGTTCATATAGAAAAGATACATGGAAACAGACGGAAATTTTCTATTTATAATTCCTGTTGTGTAAAAACTTTATTGGGTTGTACCTCAATGTTAATTTGTATTGTCCTGGATAACGGCTTCACAGTGAATTTAATTTTGTGAGAATTTCTGGATTGTGTTACATTATTGATCAGTTCCATACCATTCCTGGCTCTCTCCAAGAACAGGGCACCAACTGACCCAGAATTTATTCTTTCTACTATTTTTGCATGAGTCAGCCAGTGGATTCAAGTTGTCATATTAGACTCCATGTGGGTGTGATGCTTTATTTCTTGAGATATTTTCTCTTTTGACTATAGAATTAAAAATACTTCCTGTATTGTTTATGAAAATATAAGTTGTAATGCATAGTTAGGCAGTAGTGCTGTGTTTTTTTTTTTTTTATAGTCCTTGTAAAATGTGAGCTTCCAATCTTTAGTAAGCAACACTTATTTTTCCAGATATTAACTTGAAATGTTAATTAGTAAAGTCAATTTGTAATGCAAACAGTTTTGCAATTAATTTTTGTTTTTTCTTAGTAGATGTTTTGGATTGACATTAACCTCCTTTAAAATATAAAGAACAACTGTAATTCTAATAGAATTACTTATAGAAAAGAAACAAGGGAATGAAGTAGAATATGAATAATAAAGACATTATCTAATAAGCTGATTTGAATTTGATTTTTGTGCAGTGGAATGCCATACAATTCCAAATCTGGATTAGTAAATATATTTTCAATACTGGATGTATACTGTAGACATATCTTGGCTACAAACTTTAAGAAGAAAAAAAAAAGAATGACTCTCTTTTGTACTAATTCTTGCACTTCATATTATTTTCAATTACCCCCAAAGATTTTTTTCTTTTTAGTTTAACACAAACCTGTACTATCATTCACCATTCAAGACTGGATTTTAGATAATATCATTGACAGCAATATATTTAATGACTAGTGTTAGAAAATACAAATGAAAAGGTGCTAAAAAGATAAAGGAGTTGGTTTAAAATGGTATCATTCAGAATTCCTTTTTATGGAATTTTTTTTTTTTTTTTTAAATTTCATAAGACCATTTAATATGCTATGATCAATATCTGAATAAATGAATGTGACTGTATCAACCAGAAATAAAGGTGTGTATCTGGGCATGAAGGTACTCATAAATAATTATATTCACTTGTTGACTGAAGCATCAAGTGAGATTTCTTAATATCAACATATCTCCCTTGTAATCACAACTTGAATAGGTTTTGTTTTATATATATATATATATATATATATATTTTTTTTTTTATTCAAAAGTTATTATAGGGGGCACTTGTATTTGAAATAGATGTCTATTTCTATTTTAAACAGTGTGCATTACATTTAGTCTATCAAGACTGTGCACTTGAAAAATCTCAAACAATATACTCTCCGACAGGAATCGAAGCTGTGTCCCCCCCCTTGTAGGAGAAACCACTGTTTTATTTCATGTACCTCATTGCTTGGTTATGAAGATCATTGCAGTACAAAAACTCTCTCTCTCATATATATATATATATATTCTTCTTGAAAGCCCATATCTGGAATCATTGGATTTATCTTTAATCAGACATTATTACTATAAATGTTATCTTTAGTGGGTACATGTGTTTGAGTTGCTATCTCTGTATTTATTTTTCTTAAAATGTGAAATTAATAAAGTCTTACAAAAGAAAACCTGTATTGTATCCCTTTTCCATAAGAGAAATCACTCCTGTTGGCTACGGGAGGCCATTTTGATAGACCAAGTCCTCCTGTGGTAGCTATACACTTTGGCTATATGAGTGGTTTTACTGGTGGAAAAAGAGATACAGGTTCAATTCCTGTTAGAAACAGTTTTTCTTTAGTTGAACTTCGATCTAGGTCAGTTATTAATTTCACTGTTTTAATAAAAATAAAAACAAGCATAGCAACTTATCATGCATATCCACTAAAAAATAAAATCTATAGTAATAAGAAA